TGAGTGATCGGCGAAGAATGGTTGAGCCGGTCGTACGTCGGCGTACTCTTCCTAACTCACGGCTCAATACAAATGTCGAAAGAGGCGGCGAAGAGACCCGAACGGAGCGACCGATGCCTGAGTTGAAGTCCGGGTGGGGAACAGATCTGTTCAAATACCACGAACCCATGCGAATCAGCCGTAACAGAGGCGCCACTACTCCCGCAGTCACGCCATCGGTTGCCGTCGCAAATGAAGAGCCAATTCGGACGGAACAGCCCGACACCAGCGGTCGCACCCGACTCTTGCGCAATGAATTGGGAAGACTTATACGGAAAAGACCTGTCAATAGAGGACAGCAATCAAATTAATACATTTATTATTATATAAGTATAAGTATTATCTTATTATCCAATAATTGTATTACAATTTTGTTTATAATTTTATTTATTCATTAAAACAGAAATAAATACAATTTTATTGTCATTAATTGACAATATATACGAATATTAGTGTGTAGTAAAAAGGATATCATTTTCCAAATATCAATATTAAATATAAATTTTATAAATTTTTGTAATTTTATAATTATTTTCAAATATAGTTTAATATAGTGTAGAAATGTGAGCAAAAAATAGGATAAAATATCTAAATTAAGTTGACGTTATGCGGATAAATACAAGTTTGTGTTTAAATTTTAAAATATTTTTTGATGAGATTTTGGTCCGATTTCAAGATAAACTTGGTATACGAGAAACACTAGAAAACACAGCACTAATAAAACCATCACTAAATTCATACATATTATTAGGAATTGTTGCCAATCAAACGATTTGGACGACTCTATCTTGCAATTGAACACCGATTGCAATGTTAGATCGGACTAATCATGTATTGTACAAATTAGTGGTCATAACTATTAAATCAATTGAAAAATAATAACTTTACCATTAATTCAAAGATTCTTTTGTTACTATCTTTCGGATCGATTGAATACTTGTAAATGGGATACGATTCTTGTTTGTCATGTTTGGCCAATAAATACACGTTTGCATTCACTTCAAACATCGAGAGCACCGTTATTTCAATGGGAAGCGGGAGAACTGCACGCGTGAAGACAGTTGTGTCGCTTAATTGTGAGCTCCAGAAAAGGTTTCGATTCTTTTTGGGCACAAACACTAACTCTTGTCGAGTGGACACATAAGCGCAGACACCGGGGTCTGTGAACCACAACTGTGGCACCAAATCTGTCTGATGGTTAGCAGACGACGGCAACGGTAGCTTCGCTTTGTCGATGGGTTTACCATTTCTCTCGAAATATATGTTTGAAAAATTATCGGCCAGTATTTGTAATCCAATTGCTTTTTCATTGAATTCGCAAAGTGGAGAATCTCTTGGATGACATTTTTGAACCGCTCTTATGGCACATCCGGCCGTATAGTTGTCTGAAAGTTACAAATATTTCATTTAAACAAATGGTATCAATTGAGATGCTGTGATGGCACACGTATTGCATACTATTTTGCAACTCTTTGGTCCCATTTGTGAAACTGGTCTCAAAGAGGTCGTCGTTGAAGATAATGGATCCGTCACTGGTTTTGATGAGAATTCCGTTCGCATAAAACTCTTGGTTAATAAAATTGAAGATATAATCAGCGGTTTGTGAACTACAGAACTCATCCTCCGGACCACTGACCACACTATCAGAATGGATCCGTCACTGGTTTTGATGAGAATTCCGTTCGCATAAAACTCTTGGTTAATAAAATTGAAGATATAATCAGCGGTTTGTGAACTACAGAACTCATCCTCCGGACCACTGACCACACTATCAGCCTTTATAAGAGTATTAATGGCAAGAATTATATAAAACACCGGAATATTCATTATATTTGTTGTTTAAGTGATCATAAAATTAAGACATAAATCAGTTTAAATACAAGAATAGTAATCAAAACCAATAGATTTCATACAATTCTCGGTTCAAATGCGGCGAATATCACGAGATTTGCTTCATTTAATTGTTGTATTAATTAATTATGCATTTTATTCAGCAAATTATACAAAATTAGTTCATATTATCATAAATATAATCTTAACAGACAATCATGTGATCAATTCAAAGGGTGTCCACGTGTCCGTCCTTTGCGCCCAAATATACGGTAATATTTGACTTATCGTTAAGGACAAGACCCACGTCTACCACTCCGGACATGAGTTTAATAGTCCGATAAATGTCATCCCATTTACGGCCTTTAACGCCATCATCGGTGAACATCCAGTCAATGATATGGTTCTTGTTTTCATTGAGAAAAACAAACGGTTCCACACTATCGGTCCGCACGCGAAGGACAGCGTTTCCTTTGAATAACTTCTCGACCTCTTGTGCCACACATCGGTGAACATCCAGTCAATGATATGGTTCTTGTTTTCATTGAGAAAAACAAACGGTTCCACACTATCGGTCCGCACGCGAAGGACAGCGTTTCCTTTGAATAACTTCTCGACCTCTTGTGCCACACGTTTAGCGGCCACTGGAATCACTTCAATGGGTATCCCTTCGTGAAAAACTTGTCCTAATCTTTGCGATTGTTTGCTATTGTCTGCGATGAACACAATCTGTTTGGAAGCGTTGGCCGCGATCTTGACGGCGGCCACTCGTCCACACGCGCCCACAATCAACGATTTGGTGCTGATCTCCACCTCATCGAAGCCATCGATAAAAACATCCAATTCTGGATGAGTCGACAAATCAGTCAATTTGAGGCCATTTTCGAGAATCAAATCTAGTGTCTAAAAGTGTGACGAAGAATATTGCGATTAAAGACATCCATGTTATCAATGGATATATCATACTGTGGGACAAATGCCAATACACTGGACATCGAGTTTGTTTTGTTTGATTCGTTGAATGGCATGTATTATTGTGGTTCCGCTTCCGATTCCGACAGTGAATCCATTCTGAAGAGCAATAAATAATTCAATTAATCATTAACTGTAAGTATTGTGTTTGCAAATCAATGCCAACCTTCACGTGATTGTCGACCGCCTTAACTGCGGCCGCCTTTTTGGCAACATCTAAACCGTCAACCGTTTGGCTCATAATTAGGTCTGAAATATAAGTGAAATTGAATTAAACGACAATTGTTTTCAAAAGTCATGATTTGATCGCTTATTGCAAACACTTTTATACCACTTATTATACGTGTAATAAAGACCTAACATTTGTAACAATATTGTTGATTACATAAGACTATTGCTACTGAAGTGCTGTTATCTGTGAAGGCATTCAATGTAACCCAATGTCAAAACTTGTGTTCAAACTTTTTAAAACTCAATTTATTAAACGTGTCATAAATTTGATATACTATTGATATATTGAAATTAATGATGAATTAACACTATTATATCTCTTGTATTTGATGTCCGGATCCGTTATTTTCAAGTCTCATCTCATCGTTGATAAGGTTAGCCCGGATTGGAAACCATCTGCGGCTGTAAAAAATGGTTGAGTATAAATCGGGTTCTCTTATATTCAACCCAAAGGTTTGTGTTTAGAAATAATTCAAATAATAATTTATTCAAATCTCAATAATAATACATTTTCAATAAGTTTTAGAAATAAAAATGTAAAATGTGTCA